AAAAAAAAGTCTAGACTAAACTAAGGGCCTTACAATATTATCGATATAACGGAATATTGCACTGTACAGAATGGAATTCATAACGGCGAGTTGGCAATGAGCGAAATTGCGCCTCAATTTGGCTTCTTATCAAATGGACAATTAACAAGGCTCAGAATGCAAGTAGCTGAACCATACGAGAAGGAACCAGCAAGAAACAATTCACAACATGGCTTGACTCAGTTGCTTTGGATTTGAATTTTTTCATTCGCGTCTTCCACTTCATTCGGCACTCTTGGTTCATCAGCAGTTGGTACTGTATCCATATTTTGTTGCCCAGGACTTTTACGATATTAGTAAGTATTTTGGTGCATCGGACGTTTGCTACAACATTTTCCCACAACCTTCCCAAATGACTGTAGCATGCTACGAATGATTCTTATGTATGCTGCGCGGAATAGGCGGATTCGTACCATTTCAATCATGATTAAAAAATGAAAAAAAAAAACCAAGATCTTTCTCCAAAGGTAGCATACTTTAGAAATAATTACWTTTTGTCTGACTTCGAAATAAATTGGACCCAACTTTACACATTAGCACGGAAAAAATATTTATTTTCTCGAGGAACACATGGTGTACGGTATGATTGTTTATACCATGATGGCTTGGGATTTTTTTTAAATTTTCGCTTATGTATTTTAACTTCGAAAATCTTTCAAGAGATTCAGTTTCAAGAGCCACGAAAATCATCAAAACTAAAATCTTACGCAGTAATATATATGATCAAGAAGAAGATTTTTATTGATAATATTAAACGGCATGGCTTCGTTGAAAGTAGAAATTAGGTCTCCTTTCATGACTTGAGTTCTCTCAAAGGGAAAGCTAATTTTAAAAATGATAAAGCGACAACGAGTCAATAATAGCCATGAGGGCAAAGTGAAGAGTTTTGTTTTAATATTGCCATACTGTAAGCTGAAAGGCAATAGCGTTACTCATAATTTGTAACTYGGAAAAGCAAATTCATTTACAGTTAATTGCAAAAATTCTGAACGCTTACATTAATTATTATGTTTGGAGCATCATGGGTAATATCATGAAATTTTTGCTGTTTTCTCGCTAAGACAGATTGAAAATCATTAGAATACTTTGAAGTTATGTTTATTATTTGAATTTAGATTACAACTTAAAGTTTTAAAGTTGAAATATCAACTACCCTTTTTATTGATATATTTATATAAATTAGTGGCCAGATCGCCTTTCTTAMGAATGGATCAATATTCAAGTTAATCTGAAATCATTCTCTCGACGATGTCTCTTTGTTGGCTCCTTTAGATTTGGATTGCCCTGTCTTCACCTTGCATTTGACAAACTTTAAAAAGAACAGGAAAATGTTTTTCAGAATGTTGGAGGCTGTGCCAAGCACAAGGGAATCATGAAGCGTCATGACAGCTGCTTTCGTCAGAGAGCGACATTCTATTCTCCGTTTCTATTTTCACTGGACATCTGTCTTAGATTTGTGTTATTTCACTCGCGTCAATTATTTCAATAGATGCATTTGGTGTGCTTAGTGATAAAGGAAAAGGCACATTAGCATTAGGTGCTGCATGTACATTTTGGCGCTCGGTAATCTTCCTACATGGCTGAAACATTCTAGTGATGATTCTTGAGTAAGCTGCGCGAAAGTGACGGATTCTCAAACTGTAAACAATGAAGTTCATAGACGAGTTTGTCAAGTAAATTGTACGAATCCACAACAGCGTTGGATCAAGCGAGCAGCCTGCCGAAGTATCAGTCTGCGATAATCGGTATCCAGCAACAGGGAACCAGCAAGCGGCGAAAAGAAAAATCACAATAGCGATTGTTCCAGAAACTCTTTTCTCTATGACTCTGTCACGTGCCGTTAGAGTTGTTGGTCCGATGGCCGGTTGGTACTTTGGATATTTGATTCTGTAGAGAACAATCGCGTATGATCCAATCATGAGGAGAAAATTCACACAAAT